ACATTGTCAGAATCTACCTAAAATCAATAAAGATTAATGAAAAGTTTCATTTCTTGTACTGTTGTTTGCAGGTGGACATTTCTTTCCCACAGCACCAGTTCCCAAATAACCACTCAGAGGCTTATATTAATTTCAAAAGCTCAGGCTTGTTGCTAGCCAACTCTTACATTTATATCAACACTTTTTAATTTACACTTTGCCACGCGGCCTGGTTCCTTTTCTCAGTATGCCATGTCCATTTCTGCATCGGCTGGCGGCTCTTTTGACTCTGCCCTTCTTCTTCCCATCATTCTCAGTCTGGCTCTCCCGCTTAACTTGATCTTGTTCAGCTATTGGCCAGCCAGCTTCTTTTTTAAACCAATCAGAGTGACACATATTCACACAGTGTAAAGGAATATTTATTCCACATGGAATGGAGTTTTTGAAATCAGCTGTGCATTTATACACTGGGAACATTTAATAAGGCTCCACAGTTTGGAAAGTTGTAGAATCATTAAGAAGCAGGGACTTGCTAAAGAAAATAAATCACAGGGCTGGCCTTGAGGTTTGACAGTCTAGACCCATTTCCTGTCTGCTCTCTGTAGACTCCCTGACTAGGGGCGTAATGTGACCCCTGCCAGGCTCCAGCCACCACACTTTCCCCATGATGAACTAACTGTACAGTCAAACTGCAATTGCTCACTCTTCACCTTATTCTTTCAGGCAGGATCTTTTCTGCTGAACACAGAACTCACCTATATGTCTAGTCTAACTATCCAGCTTGCTATGAGGATTCCGTCTTTCTAGGTTTTCCAGCTTCTGGAATTATCGATTGACTGCCACACCCACCTGGTACTCACACTCATGCTGGGGTCTGAGAACTAGTCCCTCATGTTTGCACAGCAAGCTACTGAGTCATCGCTGTTGTTCTTTTGCTCCAAATGGTAGAATAAAGCTGGAAGGGGGTCCTGCGTGAGGGACCATGGCAGATTCCACGGCAGGCGAGGGTGACTAAGGACAAACATGCCGGGCAGACAGAGCTTGAGTAAGAAGTTTTATTAGAAAGAGGAGGGAGGGGGAAGGAAAGAGAACAGAGGTAAAGAGACACAGAGGGAGGACAGAAGAGAAGAGGAAGACAGGAGAAAGAGAGGAGAGCGGGGAGAGAGAGAAGAGCAAGAAAGAGAGTGTATAGAGCAGAAAGAGAGGAGAGCCAGAAAGAGCAGAAAAAGCAAGAGAGCATAAGCGGGCAGGGCTCTGTATTTTAAAGGGGTCCTAGACTAGGACTCATGGAACCCTGGGCTGACTAGAGTACTGCCTGAGTGCATTTTGCCAGGAGACAGGGGCAGGCCAGCATAATGCCTGAATCCTTACAATCACCTCAGGCCCATCATGGGTTTTGAGACAGGGTCTCTCACAAGGACCTGGGGGGGGGGAGGGGTCATTGATTCGCTGGCCAACAAGCCCCAGAGATCCACCAGAGATTTCTGGAGATTGAACTCAGGCCATTATGCTTGGGTTGTGAGCACTTTACTGACTGAGCCATCTGCCCAGCCTCTCCTCTATTCCTCATTTTTAATTAATTAATTAGTTAATTAATTAATTTTTGGTTTTTCGAGACAGGGTTTCTCTGTGTAGCTTTGGAGCCTATCCTGGCACTCACTCTGTGTAGACCAGGCTGGCCTCGAACTCACAGAGATCCGCCTGCCTCTGTCTCCTTCATTTTAACATATCAAGAGCTTGAACTCAGAGAGGAAGGTGAAACAATGACTCAGGGTTACCTGGTAAGTTAAAGACAGGCCTGGGTGATAAGCCAGACCATCTGTGCTTTTAGCCTGCCTTAGTTACTGCTCAGCTGGGACCTGTGAAGAGAATTCTTGCTCCAGACTATGTCTGGACAGCCCACATGTATTAGTTACTTTTCTCACTGCTGTGACCAAATAGGTGACAAGAAATAGCTTAGGGAGGGAAGATTTAGTTCACTTATGCACAGGCACCCCCCCCACACACAATAAATAGTAAAAATGTATTTTAAAAAGCTTAATAGTGATAGGCATGGTGGCCTGTATGTTGTATCCCAGCACTCAGGGAGCAGAGAAATGTGCATGGATCTCTGTGAGTTATAGGCCAGCCTGGATTACACAGATAATTCTAGGCCAGCTAGGAGACAGAATGAAACTTTGTCAAAATTTTGAAATCTCTCTCTCCTCTCTCTCTCTCTCTCTCTCTCTATATATCTTTCTTTCTTTCTTTCTTTCTTTCTTTCTTTCTTTCTTTCTTGTGTGTTTATATGTGGGTATGCACATGTCATAGCATGTGTGTGGAGGTCAGAGGACAACTTTGGGAGTCCATTCTCTGCTTCCACCACCTAGGACCTGAGAATAGAAATCAGTTCTCAGGCTTGCCAGTGTCTTTGTTGAGTCATCCCACTGGCACATGGTTGAATGCTCTTCTATGGTACATTCTAAGCCACATTTATTTAGCCCCTTGTCTGTAAGTGGGCATTTGAGTCTTTTTTCTCTATCATCTCTTTTTTTCCCCTATGCCTACAATGCATATTATTCTCCATTGATTGTTTGAGTATATTGTGTTTTCTGGGAACATAAATACTGGGTAATCTCCTCAATAAATTATCAACTGGATTTACAACCTCAGAGACTATTCATGTCCTGGTTCTCATGTCATGTCCAACCTGATTCAAGTGAGAAAGCTTTGAATTATGAATCTGCTCTCATTCTTTGTGGTGCAGAGAGATTTCTAGAAAAAAGACCTTGGCATTACTTTATGTTCTCAGCATTTCAGAGACTCTAAGAAGTCATCTGATCCTTCCCAAAGCCCACAGGAATCCTGCAGAAGAGCACAGCTGGCTAGAGATGGCAGCCTGAAGCCCTAAGGAGAGGCAAACATCCCATTTGGCAGTCAGCAGGAGTGTGAATGTAGACAGATTACTTAACCTGCTGAGCTTCCGTTTAGGCATTATCAAATGAGATTGTTATTCCATAGCACTTCTGAACTTGCTGGCAGGAGTCAATCCAGGGTGAGTAACAGTGCAAATGCCCACCTTTCTTCCTATCTTGCCTGTGCTATCCCCTGGGGACAGAACCTGCTATATGGTAGTAGTGACCTATAGGAAGCCACACTGTAATGGAAGATCCTGAATGGAAATTCATGACTGAAGAGATTTTGCAAAAGAAGCAATTTTGCAGATGTAGAGCTAAAATGATCTTGGCCTATCTTTAGCTTCCTTAATAGCCATTTACTACCAACATCTGTCCTGACAGCTCTCTGACCACTAGATGGAACGTTTGGAATGCACTGTTAAATTTAACAGGCCACTGGTTTCCTCCAACCTTGATGCTATGGGTATTATAACACAGCATGCTGAACCTATAGAAGAGGTTTTCCCACACTGCCATGACCTGTCTAGTTATTGTACTCACCCATGTATTAGGCAAACACATTGAGTACATTTATTGGGTAAACATATTTTCAACCTTCTTTTGTTTTGTGATCATAAATGCAATCTCTTTCTCGGTGGAACCTGCCATTCAGGAGAACCTGAATTTGGTGGTCCTGGGCCATGACTGTATTGGGTTCAAAATAAACTCTCTTGTCTCTTTGGAGTGAGAACTAGGTTTTCATCTACAGTACGCAAGAGTAGAAACAGATCTGTGTTGCTGACACAGCCCTAGAACCTCATTTTATATGTCTTCCTTAGGAGAGCCTTCACATCCCTCTCCACACAGTCCTATCTTCATTAAGGGGCACTTCTTAAAGTACTCTGCACTAAAATTGGGTTTTAGATTAATGTGAGTGGTGGTGGTAGTGCATATATCACTGCGTTTGTGGGGGGTCAGAAAACTACTTGCAAGAATGTTTCTCTCTCTCCTCTAGGTGGGTCCCTGGGGTAGAACTCAGATGGCGGTTTTGAGGTAGGTGTCTTTACCCTGAGCCATCACTCTGGCTCCTTAATCTGACTCTCGTGCATAATCCCGGAGCTCCACTTAGGGACCTTATTTGTCTTGTTTCTTGCTCTCACCTCAGGTCAAAGGAGGTGTGTACACACACTGGACATTCATCAACACTTACAGAAAACTGCACTATTCATTCCCAAACTTGGTTCATAAGGGGATGGCATGGCTGGGGATACAGCTCAGGGGGAGGATGGAGACTCTCCTAGAATGCCTGAGGTCCTGGCACCACAAAAGTGAAACAAAATAAAAAGGATGGCCTAGGAGTCACATGTTTGACTTGACACTGAGTCCCCATGAGTGTGAGTGTGTGCATGTGTATTTGCTAGTGTCTGAGCCCAGAGCTTCAGACTTCACCCAAGAACTGGCAGAAATTTTCCTCTTTTCTTTTCCCACCATCCCGCCCCCCTTTCTCCCTTTCTCTTTTTTCTTTTTTTTGTTTTTCTGAAAAGGGCTTTTCTGTGTAGCTCTGTCCTGGACTTGCTTTGTAGAACAGGCTGGCCTCAAATCAGAAATCCCCCTGCCTCTGCCTCCGGAGAACAGAAATTAAAGGCGTGAACCACCACCGCCCGCTTTCTTTTCTTCTTCTTTTTCTTTTAATTCAAAACATGACCTCACTATGCAATCTAGTCAGACCTTGAACTGAATCTCTTACTTCAGCATCCTGATCATGGGTGCACTGTGCTTCCGGAGTGTACCCCTATGGGCAGCGCTGCTTGCTAATAGGGTCTAAATTCTAAAGAAGTTCCAGAAAGGTAGGTAGTCCAACTGGATGAAGAGTTTCTGGACTTTAACATGGCACAGCATCAATTAAGGGAGAAGAGAAACAACCATGTGGCAGAGCCCACAGGGACAGCACCAGTCCCAAAGACCAGCCATTAACAATAACGCAGAAGAAAAAAAAAAAGCAGCTGCCTCGGTCCCTCAATGCGCAGGCGCAGTCGAACTCCTCAGCCCTGCCCCTCCTCCTGGGAGTCACTGAACTCAAAGGCGGTCAGCTGAGGCGCCGGGGCAGGTCACCTGACGTCGGGCGGGGAGGGGCTTCGGCGCGTTACGCAGGCGCAGATCGTGGGCCGCGAGTCAGCTGACCCAAGGGGCTTCTACGTGTGTTTAAGCCGTTGATTTTAGGCCGTTCTTTCGGCCGAGAGTCCCCGCAGCGATGGCGAGTCAGTCGCAAGGCATCCAGCAGCTGCTGCAGGCCGAGAAGCGGGCGGCCGAGAAGGTGTCCGAGGCCCGCAAGCGTGAGCTCCGGGGCGGGGTGGGATACCGGGCGGGAGTTGGAGGTTAGGCCGCGGGCGGAGGCCCGGGACAGGGTCAGTGCCAGAAGGTGTCCGGGCGGCGCCTGGAAGCCGCGAGGCAGGACCACTCGCTGCCTGCGGAGACAGTAGTGGGTTTGTCCCCTTCTCGGGGTGGAGGTAGTGAGCCTCCGACCGAAACTGTTCTCACCTAATCCCTGCTCAAGGATCCCGCCCGGTCGCGGGAGTCGCCGCCATGGTCGTCGAGTCAGAGAACCTAAATCGTCTTGGCCGGCTCTCTCCTCGTCACTTCACGCCATTTGTCAAGCCTCTCTGTCCCAACCCCTGTCCAACTCTTCCTTCAGCATCTTAGTTCAGCCACCCGAGTTCATGTGGCTGCCTAACTCTAACTCGTTCATTCCTTTTGTTGTTCCCCTGAAAATGTGCTAGAGGAGTGCCCAGTTCATCTTCATCACAGGGTATTTCATGTTCCAGCGGAGGAGCACATATCAGTTAAACGGGTGTGTGTAGGTAGTGAAAGGCCAGTGTTGAGAGGGGCAAGGCGGCCAGAAAAGTCAGTTTACCCCACGGGTCTAACCGGTACTGAAGGAGTGGAAGAAGCCAGTCGTATTCCACAACTCATTCTTTTTTTAACTGCAGTCACCTGCTTAAAATGTGACTATACCTTCCTCAGTACCTTTCCTTCCAGTCAGTGGTCCTAGCCCTGCAGAATGAAGCTGGTATTTCATAATGGATTAAAGGAAGTGCTCCCATCAATCAGGCTTATGTACTTTTTCCTAAGGATGTCCCTGTGAGATATTCTTTTTCAGCTGTACTGAGTCACTATGAGTCTTCTAGACAGCTTTGTTGATGTCTCCAAAAGCCTTTGCACTTCATTTCCTCTGGTTGGAAGAACCTTTCTCAGTGTTTCCCCACAGGTATCCAAATGGTTAGTCTTCTTTAAGATCTCAAAATGTAGCAGCTGGTCCTCATTCGGTCTCCTTCCCTCAGATAAGGTTGGAAGTCTCTCCCCAATGCTTACTTTCGACATAGTATATTATAGTAAATGCTTGGTTTACATGGCCCTGTCACTAGACTAAGCTTTTGGAAACTGGAGAGTGTGTCTCAGTAACTATCCATGTTTCCAAGGTAAGCAGACAATATATTTATTTACTCCTGTTTTGCAGGTGGGAAAAGTGAGACTCAGATGAACAGACATTACGGGGTTTAGAGGCTTTTCTAATCCAAGGTAGCTTTCTTAGTATAAAACTTGTACACAGATTTACGTGTTTATTTATTTTGAGGTAGGCTCTCATGAAGTCCAGGCTAGGTGGGAACTCTCAGCTCTGCCTGCCTCTGTCCCCAGTGCTGGCATGAAAGGCATGTGCAGTGGCCCACTCCCAAGTAGACCTCAACTGTGGCTCTGGCAGGAGTTGTGCTCCTTTTTATTTCCTGGGAGAAGTTTCCTCTGAGAGTGCTGGGGATGGTGAGAAGCCTGTTCTTTGTTCTTGGGTGGCTATAAAGTCTGTGTTGCCATATTCTTGATCCAGAATTTCCAGAATGTCTTGCCAGTTTGTTCATTGGTGACTCAGCAGCAACAGCAGATGTGTATGTATGTTGGGAAGTATGTGAGACCATTTGGAGGAAGTGCAAGAATACTTGGATTGTGGTGGGAATGACTGGGTTCCTGGGAGGTTTAAACCTTTTTCGACTTCAGGATCTTATATGCATCAGATAGCTGTTATTTGCTGAAGGAGTTTGTTTTAAAGGGGTTAGCTTACAGCTAACTCACATTTTAAGATTTTTCAATAGTTGGGAAGAGAGGTATTGAAAAGAGCTAAAATTTGAAAACTATCCCCTTTCTTGACTTGTGATCACATCTGACTTGCTCAGTTAAGACCTGTGAAGAAACGGCTCTTACTTATAAGATCTGAGAAAGTATGATTTAAAAGAAATTTGGGGCTGGGAGGATGATCCCAAAAAGGAGGAACCCAACTTTGGGGCCAGAGCAGGCTACATAAAACCCAAAAAGGGGGAAGGAAAAAAAAAACAAAAAACAAAAAAACGATAACTCTGGGGACTCTGGGTACTTGACATGTACTCAGTGGTGGAGTACTTATTTAGTGTGTAGACTCTCCAATACTAAGGAATGTGTATTTGTGTTTGTGTGATCTACTGGTCCAGTAGTATTGACTTTTCAGAAGTCTGTCAATACAATTTGAAGATTCTTGCCGAAAGGCAGTGGTGGTCTTGTCTTAGTGACTGGTTTAGGGAGCTGTGGGAATTGAAAATGATGAGTTATGAAATTACCTTGGAGTTCCTGCACAGTGATTGGGCCATGGATGTCTTTGATAGACTCTTGGTTTGGAAAAGGTCTTCAGGTTTAAATGTGAACCATGTAGCTGATGGGGGTGGATAATCTATAAAGGGTTGGGGCCAGCAGAGGAGGAGTGAGCTGAAATAAATACTGTGTTTAAGTGTAGACTTGCAGAAATAATCGTTGGGGTGTGTAGGGAGAGACTGTTTCAGACTTGCCAGACAGTGCTGATGTCATCGAGTCATTACAGCTCCAGTGTTCTTTCGCCCTTCCTTCCTTCCTTCCTTCCTTCCTTCCTTCCTTCCTTCCTTCCTTCCTTCCTTCCTTCCCCTCTTTCTTTCTTTCTTTCTTTCTTTCTTTCTTTCTTTCTTTCTTGTTAGTTCTCATCCACATTGTCTGTAGATTTTTGAATGTGGCAACAGGCACATAGGTTACCAGTGTATACAACTTGTTTGCTAAGTCCTCATCCCTGTTACGTTTTCTGGACAAACGTACACAGATATGGTATGGAACATGATTCCTTTGGCCCAGACGGCTTTATTGAACCTGGTATCAATGCACCAATCTGGAGTCCCCATCTCCTTCATGGCAAATTTCCGGATTTCTTTGAGTGCCCGAAGAGCACGAGAATTTCTTGAAGCCCACACCATGTATGCACTTGTGAATGTTGATGGTGTAGTCTGGGGTCACTGTGGCCCTTCTCACCACCCTTTGATAATACAGTGATGTCTAATAACGCTTGATTTTTTTTTTTTTAAGATGCATGATGTCTTTTGCTGTACATTACTTAACCTATCTAGGCTAATCTTCTAGAACTCCCTGTTGGTGTAACTGGGCACAGTGGTATACAACTATAGTAAGCTCACCACTTAGGAGACAGAGGCAGGTGGATTTGTGTGCCTTCCAGGTCCACCTGTTCTACGAATGGTGAATTTCAGGACACCCAAGGCTACACAGAGAGTCCAGTCAGTCAGTCAGTCAGTCTGTCTGTCTAGCTGTCTGTCTCTGTCTCTTGTTTGAGCAGACATTCAAAGTAGAGACTGTTGGCTGGACTTGTATTCTGTCAACTTGGGGACTTTATAGATCAGTTAAACTGCTGTCTTCCAGAGATCAGAACCCCTGTTTCTCCTCCCTCCCAGCTGTGTGCTATGTATTGCTCTGGCATAGCATTTTGCATCCTCCCCAGTCATGGCTTTGCCTCTGCCACAGCCCTGGTGCCTGGTTTCCAGTATTACATCATCTCTTTCCTTAGCTACATTTTAGGTGATGTCCTTTGAGTGCATTAGCTCTCAGCAAACTCCCAAGAAGAGCTGCAGTTGTTACAGAGACACAGCTAGCTCTTCACTGTTTGGGGTGAGGAAGAGCTCCTCAGATGGCTGTCACCCATCTTATGTTAGCAGGTTTTTAATAGTTGAGATTGAGAGACTATGCTGTGACATTCCATGGTATTTTATTCATCTTCACAGGTTCCCTTTTGAGTGTGTTTACGGTTCTGGGTATTAGACTGAGGGCCTCATGCACTGCTCACAATTCTAAAGGGCATTCCTGTTTTGTCTTCACTTATGGGTAGAGGCAGAACCAACATTGTTGTTTAGCTCTGTAGTCCCTCTTTCCTGTGTACTCCTGGTATTTTTTATTGTTACTATTATTATTGTTGCTTTTTTTTTTTTGAGACAGGGTTTCTCTAATAATAGCCCTGGCTGTCCTGGAACTCTAGAGAGCTGCCTGCCTCTGCCTCCTGAGTGCTGGGCTTAAAGGTGTGTGCCACCACTGCAAGGCATTATTTTCATCATTGACTACTAAGATTCCTTATCAGAATCTTCTTGCTGTTCTGCTTTGAGACACTTCTTGATGTCTTTCTCTTTGAAAAAAACAGGGAAGAACCGGAGGCTGAAGCAAGCCAAGGAAGAAGCCCAGGCTGAGATTGAACAGTACCGCCTGCAGAGAGAGAAGGAGTTCAAGGCCAAGGCAGCTGCGGTGGGCCTCTGTTTCTTTTCATTATTGCCTTACTTTCTTGTATAGATCTAAAAATACCCTGCATAGCTTGGAGACTCTAGTGCAGTTTTGAGGGGTTTGTGTTTGTTTGGTTTTGGTTTTGGTGCTACTGGTGATTGCATCCTTGGCCTTTGCATGCTAACAAGTTCTCTAGCCCCTATCTTAGCCCAGTTAATTGTATGGTTTGTTTTATGTTCATCTTGTCTTTTGGTATGGTTACTTTTATCAGGTTCTAGTCTTCATTTATTTTGTGATTTAATAATCTTTTAGGTAGTTGACATGTGTCAGGTACCATGTTGGATGCTGGGGGATCAACCAGGAACAGTAGGTTCTGTCCCTGCCTTCATTGAGTTTCGTTTAAAACCTACAGCTATGAACACTGCTATGGTAGTCTAAATGTGAATTAAATGGAACATGCATCTCAGTAAAGTACAGACTTTTACTTCTGTGGTAGGCAACTGTGATGCATAAAATGATGCACAGAGATCTTGGGAGAAACAAAGGATCAGAAGAACTTACGAAAGGAAGAAGGGGGAACAGAGCTGTGCGATGTCCTATACAGTTAACAGTGGTTCACAGTTTATTGACTTAGTTAAAAACCCAAGAGAAAGATTGAGTTTGCTCTCAACTAGGTGTTGGGGTGATTGCTCTGGGCTCTTCTCATTCCTGTCTTTACATTTCCTTGCTTTGTTCTCAGGCTCTGCATTGGTTCTAGTGGTTTTAGGTCCATACCTGTACAGGCCAGGGGCCAGTGATCGTGGGCACCTGTGTCTGCTTCTTAGCATTAAGTACGTAGGCTTCCATTTTCTTTGCACTGGGCAATCACAAAGCACATTAAAATACGCAGTGTTCCTCTTGACAGATTGGTACTAAAAATGGTTACACTACACAGTCAATTCTCTGTCAGGGCAGCCATCTGTGTCCACATGTCCCACAGTTGTTTATGGGATACTGCCAGTGATGTACTATAAAACACACTCTAGTGTCGTCCCATGGTAGGCAGCACTTTTAGTTTTGAGATACTTATTGGGGCATGGCACATGGCTCATATTCATGGAACAGAGGCAGTGTCCACATGCTAGAATTTACATCTCCATGCTGGGCTATGAGTTTAGCTGCATTTTCCCAGTTGTACATTTTAAACAATGTATTATATGTGTATGAGCCTTTTTTGCCTGCATGTATGTATGTGTACCATGTTCATACTTGGTGCCCTCTGAGGCCAGAAGGGAGCATTGGATCCCCTGGAGCTGGAGTTACAGATGGTTGAGAGCCACCATGTAGGTACTGGAAACCAAACCTGGCTCCTCTGTAAGAGTAGTAATTGCTTTTAACTGCTAAGCCATCCCTCCAGTTTCCATCCTTTCACTTTTAAAGCCACATCAAAAATAACATAAATACTAACATAACTGATACTGTTGTATTATTTTTTTTACCCATAAACTGCATGTTTTACTGTTCATGTTGCTGAACAGTATTCTGTTGTATAGGTGCTTCATAGTTCATAACCAGTTTCAGTTGTTGGGGTGTGTGTGCACTTTGCTGGTTGATGCACCACGGTTGCAACTGCTGGGGACTGAACTATGTGAATCCCTGCCTTATTTGTATGTACTCTATTTTTCTTCTTGTGCTCAAGCAGTTCTCTCTCACCTCACAAGTAGCTGGATCACAAGTGTGTACCACTGTGTTTGGTACCGTAGTGGTTGAATCTTTAGGTTGGTTCCAGTCTTTACTAAGGACCGTGTACTAGACAGTGGAACACTGCTGTGGATAGCAGTGAGCTCTGATGGAATGCCTGGCTCGTCACATAGCTTTACTCACAGGTTGCTTTGCCTGCCACTGGTTATTGCCTTCTCTTGTTAAGGAGCTGGGGCTTTTCCATAAGTCAACAGGTTGCTTGTTAAATGGCTCAACCAGAGAATCTTTCTGATGTCTCCTTGTATCCTGTCTCCTCCACTGCAGGCACTGGGGTCCCACGGCAGTTGTAGCAGTGAGGTGGAGAAGGAGACCCAGGAGAAGATGACCGTTCTCCAGCACTATTTCGAGCAGAACAGGGATGAAGTCCTGGATAACCTCCTGGCCTTTGTGTGTGACATTCGTCCAGAAATCCATGAAAACTACCGAATAAATGGATAGGATGTGGAAGCACCTGCCCTGTGGGTTGGCATGGGAGATGCCCTCACAGAATAGGAAACATCCACAGAACTCGAGTTCTGTTCTGGAAGGCATTAAATTATTTCTCTATGCTGTTATAGATCCCTTCACTTTTTGAGAGTATCAAATCTAACTTTTTGTACAACTTAGTAAGTCCCTGAAGTTTCCTCTTTTTAACTTGTGTGTCTTTAAGGAGTATATGTTCCCTGCGTGTCTGTGCAAGCAGCAGGCATCACTGTTGATTTTCCTTTATTAGTCTAGTAGAAAAAAAAACCAAACAAACCAATTCTTTGAAGAAAGAAAGGGACTAAATTGTTTCCTTCTACTTTCTTAAAGGTCAGGGGCGTTATCTATGAAAAAGTAGTAAATAGCATTTGTAACTCTTACGAAGCAGCAGCCATCCTTACAGTAGTCCATTCTAGCTAATTTAGGACAGTGAATATGCTTTTTCAGGCTGCTTTAGTGTATTGTATCTTAAATTACTAGATGCTAGGACTTAAGAATGTGTTACATGTTATTTGGTGTGCTTGTAATCACTTAAAAGTAAAACTTTGTCTTGCCTTTCATCTCTCTGACTCTTTTTGATAATGCAAAGTGCATCTTGACCCAGATGTTGAGCAGAATTTCATTTAGGAATCAACACATGTCAGATTTGTATACCTTACTAGTAAATGCTCTTTTATTCAGAAGGAAATGACTTGTGATTTCATCCTCTGTTTGAGAAAGCACCAAACAACTCAAGACCAGTAGTTTGCCTTTTGTCTAGAGCAGTGGTTCTCAACCTGTGGGTCATGACCCCTTTGGGGGTTGAATGACCATTTCACAGGGTTGCATATCAGACATCCTGCATTCAGGTATTTACAGTGCATGACAGTAGCAAAATTACAATTATGAAGTAACAGTGAAAATAATTTTATAGTTGATGGTCATCACAACATGAGGAACTGAAATAGAAAGGTTTAGAACCACTGCTGTAGAGAACCCTGTGTCAGACATCCTTGGCAGCCTTGGGCAAATATGCTTCTCTGATGAGCAAAGTGAGTAATGTATAACTTCACTGGCTCCCAAGTGTGAGATACCTAGTGACCCTTTTCAGGCTAACAGTCTTTCTTTGGTTGCAGAGTAATTTGTGGTGGGCAAAAACACTCAAAAATATGTGGGGGCTTTCTTTTTCATGCAGCATTGTGAGATGGTAAGCACACAGTTTTCTGTGCCTCTGGATCATTTGCTCTGAGGTCGCTTCTGGTCTGTGGTCACTGTG